TGATATGTTGCTAAATGGAATCAAACAACCAATCAATCAACATTAAAGAACTCTTTCATGACATTAATCCATATATCCGACAATGTCTTGGAGAAATCAAACTGTATTCCAAAATATAACTTCAACAAGACTATAACATAAAACACACATATCACCGCCTCTAGTAATTATGTCCACACAAACATGTATATGGACAAAAGCTGCGTATCATCTACCATGTATTCAATTGTGAAAGCAGAATAACATGTCATATTTTTATTTCAAAGCTCCCAAGAAAATTTAATTTCGGCATTAAATGACCCATGAACAAATTGATATGCTGTTAAACAAATGAATCGAATCAAAACAACAAATCAAAATCTACCATTTCTCTTGGCATTGAATATTTCTGCCACCTATGGTCTGGTGCTCCTGGTATATATCTTGAGATTCTTGGAAAAATCCATAGAAGAATCTGCAAAGTTATCGGTTCTGACCCGGCATCTCGGCTTCAGTCACTTCCCCACCGCTGTAACGTATCTTTCCTGTATCTTTGCTATAAATATTTTCATGATAATTTTTGAATAAACTTTCCTCTTTAGTATGTTGACCATATGAATTTAAGCTACCACGCTGAACTTGCAAGATGTAACTATGATATGCTGGTAAACAAAATCAAACAACTAACATGGAAGAGCCTTTTCATGGCATTATTCTTTATAATATCCTACAATTTTTTTTTTAAAGAAATCAAACTGTATTCCAAAATATAACTTCAACAAGACTATAACATAAAACACACATATCACCGCCTCTAGTAATTATGTCCACACAAACATGTATATGGACAAAAGCTGAGTATCATCTACCATGTATTCAATTGTGAAAGCAGAATAACATATATCGGATTTAGTATTGCTGTTCAGTTAGTATCATTAATATCTTCTATAAATGTTCCATATTTACAGACCTTTACTTTGAAAGTATAAAATTATGTACAAAATATTTGTAGTTGAAAGCATAAAATTACATATAAAATATTTAGATTTTGGCATTAAATGACCCATAGAGATGTTGATATGCCACCAAACAAAATCAACCAAACCAGACCAATAAAATATTTAGATTTTGGCATTAAATAACCCATAGCGGTTGATATATAGACTGAAAAAAAACAACCAACATGTAAGAACTCTTTTATGACATTCATATAATATCCTACAATTTCTTAAAGAAATCAAACTGTATTCCAAAATATAACTTCAATAAAACTACAACATAAAACACACATAACACAGCCTCTAGTAATCATCTCCACACAAACATGGATAGGCATGAAAGCAGAGTATCGCCTACCATGTAGTCAATTATGAGAGCAAAATAACACAGTTTTACTACTTCAAAACACCCAAAACAATTAATTTCAGTATTAAATGACCCATGAAGGAGTTGATATGCCACTAAACAATCACAATAAACAATAACCTGAGATCCTCATTTATTTCTTTAATCTTAACCATGGGGACTGGTTTCTGACTAGAAATGAAGATTACAAATGCTACCCCACTACAGTCCTGAAGCATATGATACTGCACTAGCCGAATTAACATTTCGTTCAAATGTAATGTGGAGAACTCTAATGTAAGGGAGATAACTCAAATCCTTCATTTCTGTTCTCTGAGCTAAGAGATATCATGGAGGAAGAATAACATTTTTATTATTTCAAAGCTCACAATAAAATTAAATTTTAGCATTAAATGACCCATGACAAGTTGATAGGCTGTTAAACAAACAAATCAAATCAAATCTATAAATTCAAGTCCAAACCCAAGGAATATTTACTTATATTTACAAACGTATAAAAACTTGACCAATATTTTTCTCTACACTTAAAAATATAATTAAAGTTAAATCTCAATATAAAAAATAGCAACCATTGCCTGGTTTACATTCAGTTTAAATGAAGTGAGGAACACTCTGATGTAAGGGAGATAACTCAAATCTGTCATTTCTCTTCTCTAGGATAAGAGGTATCATGAATTGCGAACATGTCTTTTGTGATTAAATTGCAAATAATGCTTCAAGAAAATTGAATTTTTCTCCTTGTTCCTTTCCTTCGTTGTATTGTGAGTTTGGGTCAGGGGAAAAAAAAGCCATATCTATCCTATATATCCTCATAATTAGGAAAAAAAAGGAAACCTATTGTATGTTTGTGATCAACTTGTTTTTTACGGGTTATCAACCTTTTGTGAGTTATTTGAAGCTGAAATCTACTTTGGATTATAAGAATTATTTTTTTTTCTTTAAAGTAGATTTTGCATTAATTTTTTAAGAATGACAATGTTTCTTCCATATACAAGTACTACTATTTAACCCATAGCTGGTGGAGAGATGAATTCCTATGCCCTTACAAGAATCTGGCTTACAGACACATCATATTGAAACACTGGTCCCCATACAATCACTGAAGTTAAGCAATGTTGAGACTGGTCAGTACCTAGATGGGTGACCACTTGGGAAGATCACGTGTTGCAAGCTTGTTTGTACAGGTGGGGTGTAATGGATCAAAATTGTTAATTGGCAAGTCGAATTCCAATTCCTGCTGGTTTTGTTATATTCACTTACACACAAATACACTTAGGAAAGGTACCAATCCACTTATCCCCCAGTTATGGGTTAATTAGTAAGACTTGTATCCCTAGACCATTATTATCTCCCCATGAAAAACTCATACAATCTAAAAATATTTTCTGGATTTAAATAACCTGCAAAGAGTTGATAAGTTGTAGAAAACGAATCAATCAATGAAATACTGATTAGCTACACAGGAATGTCTTTTAGATTTATTTACATTCTCTGGAATAGAAATGTATAGAAACTACCGCAGCCACAAAGTGAGGGATCAGTTTATGTATTGATTGTAATATGCAATTGATCTCCCACTTTCTATCCACATTATAATTGTGTTTTTCAAATTCTGATTAGGTATGAATTCAGGTTTTCTCCCTCAGCTATGGGTTAATTAGTAAGATTTGTATCACTAGATCAATATTATCTCAGTAAAGAAAATTCTTACAATCTAAAAATATTTTCTTGCTTTAAATAACCTGCGAATGGTTGATAAGCCATAAAATACGAATCAATCATAAAACTGGGTTCTCTTCATGGATTGCCACGGCATTGTTTGTGGGAATGAGGAACATCTTCACTTTTTACAAAAACAGATTAATGGACTATATCTTTCCTTTGGCCAGTGAGAATTTTATCTGCCTCTTATTCAAACCATCTCTCATCAATCTGACTGCTCTTGATTCTACATCTTCATCAACAGCTCATGACTGGCTACTCTTTCTGGCCACTCTAACTATGATTGGCCTACCTTCCGACTGACAGGCACTAGATCCTGATAGTTTTTATTTTAGTTTTCCTACTTGTAGACAGTAGAGGGTTACTTTGAAATATCCATGTATCAATTTTACTGGCAGTGCTGTCATGAAATACCTGTTGATTCGGACCCAAATAAAATCCTTTGCAGTTCACTTGACTTTATGTCCAAACCAATAGGCGATCATGGCCTATTATGTCAGTCTTGTTGAAATTGTTTTCCTGGAAGGAACTATTATGTCACTCTTGTTGAAATTGTTTTCCTTCTCTGGAAGGAACTATTATGTCACTCTTGTTGAAATTGTTTTCCTTCTCTGGAAGGAATTATTATGTCACTCTTGTTGAAATTGTTTTCCTTCTCTGGAAGAAATTATTATGTCACTCTTGTTGAAATTGTTTTCCTTCTCTGGAAGGAACTCAGAAGACACTCCATTCCAATTTTACCAGGCACACAGCATCATAGTCCAGGGTATGATAATAAACCACATCTGGCAGCAAGGCCTCTGATCAGGAGGTTTTGAGGAGCATAGAACCATCTCTTAATTGCTATTGTTCTCAGGTCCACCCTGACCTGAAGTTGTAGCACCTGTTATGGTCCCACCTCTAAGCAAATAGCGAAAACCTGAACAAAAACATTATGAAAGTATTAAAAAAATACATTTTCATAATAAAAATACCCGCAGTACATTTTTATATAAAAAATGACCAAAAATACATATTTATAGTAAAATGACCAGCAATAAATTTTATCTATAGTTGAAGGCATACCACTGCATTTAAAATGTATTTAGTTGAAACTATAAAATTGTGTTATTTAGATTTTGGCATTAAATAACCCATAGAAGTTGATATGCAAAAAATCAACTGCCCAATATACAGCATCACCTTTTGGGGAAACAAGACTGGCCTTTGTTACAGTTGGTGTATGTTTTTGCTTTCCCTGTAATCTCATGTATTCCACATTTTAAAATCCCCCCCCACACACACCCACCACTTTTCATTACCTATCACAGTTTGTTATATTCAAGAAGGGTATTACATACAATAGGTATGTATGGGTGGTGTACTGAATAGTGGCTTGGAATGAGAAATTGGAGGGCTGAGTTCAAATTCCAGTCATTCAAATGCCAGTTACATTCACTTTTCTTTTTTTTTCTCGAATCATTTCACCCCCAAACAAGGTAATAATGTCACTAAGGCACAAAGGGATACAGGAAGGAAGGGAAAGAGAATGAGAAGACTTTAGTGAGGAGAAAGGCCAATATGCAAATACTCTTGAGAAGGTATGAATTCATCTCTCCACCAGCTATGGGTTAAATAGTAGGACTTTGTTCTTCTCAAAAAATTAACGCAAAATTTACTTTAAAGAAAAAAAAGAATTCTTAGAATCCAAAGTAGATTTCAACTTCAAATAACTCATGAAAGGTTGATAACCCATAAAAAAACAAATCAATCACAAACATACAATAGGTTTCCTTTTTTTTCCTAATTTATGTGGACACTATACATGAAAACGTTAATGATTTTTTTTCAGCTTGGTGGCATTTTCTCCAAGATATTGGATGTTATAAGCATGCTAGCTTATCTCACACATCATATAAAGTTGAAAGCTTTTTACAATTATCTTCTCATTTCAGATGTGATAATTCTGGCAAATCACCACTGAATGTTGCTGCCCACTGGAAACTGAAAGATATGATTAGACTATTGCTTGCAGCCAAAAGCAACGTGAATCTAACGGACAAACGGGGTCACACACCCCTCTATGTGTGTGTCAGTTCACTCAGCACGGGTCTCTACAAGGAAGATCTCAAGTATCAGGTACCCTGCATCAAGGTACTGTATCGTGCTGGTTGTGATATGCTTAATCTGGTTGATTGGCTCAAATGGAAAGGGCCAGGCATCCCACAAGAACTCCTCTCTGAGCAAGGCGATGAGGCTTTTCTTGAGTGGTACACGATGAGTATGCGTTCACCACACTCTTTGTGTAATCTCTGTCGTAAAGTTGTCCAACAGACACTGTTTATGAATCACTGTTCACAGGATTATCTTCAATTTGTCTACATGCTGCCTTTGCCACACAAGCTGCGAGTCTATCTTTCACGTAAAATGTTTCACCTGCCAACTTCCTGATGGGGGGTGAGGAAAGATGCCTCTGGACATGTTTGGTGAAATCTTCAGTTCGGATGAGATCATTGATAATCTGGACTTGTGACAGAAGGATCAGAAGGTGGAAGTTGGAAAATTAAATTAAATTTTTTTTTTTTTTTTTTTCCTTTCAGGTTTTCTTTCTTGTTTGTTTTTTTTTTTTTTTTCTTTTCTTTTTTATTGGGAAATTTGAAAAAAGTTCTAAATTCATTCTAACAAAATTGAATGATTCACTAATTTTTTATAATAATAATAAACCTCAAAGAGAATTGTCTTTTTTTGCCCTCTTCAGATTTCAAACTCCAATTATATTCAAATTGGATGGGGTTTAAGGGACATAACTCGTTTCATTTACTGTGCACCATGATAACTTCTGTGCAAAATAAATTACCGAAATGAATACACATGTGAGTATGCTTGTCAATGCATACAATTATAGATGTTACATATATATACACACACATACACTCACATGCGGGTGGATCAATAAGTCTGTAGCCTGATACAGTTATTAGATGAATTTTGATCTGGAATTTTCACTGTATACTACTCGGTTTTATATGATTATTATTCACTACTGAATTAAGTGCATTGAAAAGGAAGGAAATTACATTCAAAAGTAAATATTTATATAAAATGAATGCTTTTTTTGCCAGCATTAGGCTGCAGACTAACTAAACTGCCTATACACACACACACACACACACACACACACACACACACACACACGAAAATCAAGACAAAAGAGAAACTTAGCTGAGACATTCTGTCCTCCTCTGAGGGTCTTTATCAAGGCAAATGTGCCTTGATAAAGACCCTCAGAGGACAAAACACAACTAAGTTTTCCTTGTCTTTATTCATATTGCTCTTTTACATATATAATCTATCTGAATTTTCACACACACATTTCTATCTATCTATCTATCTATATATATATATATAAAAGAAATATGTTGTAGTGGTTCCAACGAGAGAAAAGTATGTATATTAAAAGAAGAGGGTGAAAACGTTTTTGGTAGAAAGAAAATTTATTGAGAAAAATACACAAACAGAATGTTTTATCAGAATATTCCACATTGAACATGAAGAAAAATTAATTATTTTTAATAATATGTAAAAAATTCCATTTTTCACCTGAAGACGGTTAATTAGACCAGACCAGAAACATTGTGTGGAAATTATGTAAAACAAAGTATAATATTTTTTTTTCAATAAATCCACATTACAAAAAAAAACGTTTATGCACCCCTCTTCTTTTTTTAATATATATATATATATATATATATATATATATATATAAAGTAAGGTAATAAAGGGTTTGGTAATCCATATGGATAATTCCAAAGAGGATGTAATCCAGAGAGCTTAATGTAACAATGGAGCTAACATTAATTAAATTAAAAAAGAGGCAACCTTAAGATTCTATGACTATAATTTATTTTTCCAGAAAATATATTTTTCCTGGTTTATCAGGTCACATTTCTAGTTATTATTATAAAATTTATATATTATATATATTATATATATATATATATATATATATATATATATATATATATATATGGGGAAAATTTTTGTGTGGCACATTTTGCCCTAGGATTTTGAATTCTCTGTTTCTTGTTCATGCGTGTGTGTAGTTGCATCAATGTAGACAAACTTAGTCTGATGAAATCATAAAGGACAAAATGGGTCACACCAAATCTTTTTCCACTTTGTAATGCTTCTTTCCCCTAAAATCGTTCTTGAGATATATATTTATATTTTAGAGAAATCTATGACAAATTGGAAAAACTTTTCATGTGATGCATTTTGTCCATTTTTGGACTTCATTGAACTAAAATGGACAAAACGTGTCACATGTACACTTTCATTTTGTCATAGATTTCTAAAATTGTTCTTGATTATATAAATTTTTACATATCATTTTATTGAGCCCTCTTTTAAATTAAATGTTACATACAGTGGAAGTATACTCCATTTGTTCTCGTTTTACCTGGAGATATATATATATATATATATACATATATACATATAATTACACATATACCTATGTTTGCAGTATGACTCAGTTTCATGGCTTTGCCAATCATCAGGTACAAAAAGTTACAAACTGTTCAATCTGAGTCATACTTTAAATGTATGTATATGTGTAATTATTAATATATACTTTATAGCTCTGTTTAACTACATTGAGCACTGTTTTGTCTAGACCATTGATTAAATAAATGGTTATTTGCTCACCTCTGTGTACATAATCTCTCACATTTATGGTTAATCAATATCTTTTTATTTAGATCATATATATATATATATATATATATATATATATATGATTCAGATATGAATATGCCTGTATAAGACTATAAATAAAAGAAATGTGTGTACCAAGCAATGCATTTTGTTCCTTGAGGAACTTTATCAAAGCAAATGTTGAAATTTTATTTACCAACCTGTATTTATACACAGAAGTAACATGGCGAAAAATGAAATAACGTTAAATTCTGAATTAGAAAACTCTAAAATATTCTAAAAATTTACTGTGTAAAGGAAAGTTAGAGCTATGGAGGACACTAAGTGACATAATTTTTCAGCCTATTAAACTAAAGTTTTTAGAACATTTTAGAGTATTCTCTAATTCAAAATTTGCAAACAATATTGTTTGCCTCCCTGTTAGTAAATAAAATTTCTCCACTTGCCTTGATAAATTTCTTCAAGGAACAAAACACCTTGGCATAAGAGTTTCCTTTTTAGTTTTTTTATATATATATATATATATATATATATATATATATATATATAAAATAAAAAACAATTTATACAAAGAATTAAATAGCAATATTAATGTGATTAATGGCAAAATCACTTCGCTAACAAGACTTAATGAGACATTAACTTACTATCATTTCCTTGAATAATAAGATCCTTATGTTCGAGTTGTTGTCAGATGGAAGACACATGCCAAGTACTTTCAACAATTTCAAATTGTCATCTTCAGTTTTCCCATACACGGATAAATACTGAGACGAAATATGTGTAGACCTAAAGTTGTTTTTTCTTTTTTTTTTTTTAATTATGCTATTCATTGACAGTTGAATATACGTTTTAGAGCGTTTTTTTTTCTTTTTCTTTTTTAAACTAGAACTCTATCGTTGCACGCTCCAAAACATTAAGTCTTGTTAGCAAAGTGATTCTGTCATTAATCACATTAACATTGCCAATTAATTCTTTGCATGAATTGTTTCTTTATGATATAAAATATAAGCTGCACACTCTATATATATATATATATATATATATATATATATATATATATATATATATATATATATATATATATATATATATATATATATACACATATAATGTACTAAGTCTGACAATTATTTAATATATTTTCTGTTTATACATTATTTTTATAGATACAATGAATTTAAGTAAATGCTCTATTTTTAATTAAACAGTATTAATTGTATTTTTCTGAATGTTCTAGAAATTTTGTAGAAAATATACGTTCTCGAACAGGAATTGAACCTGTATTCCTATATGGAAACCGTCATTAGACCTGACATGCTGTACTATTCTTGAACATTCAGGTTGATAAATGTAATTAATACTGTTTAATTAAAAAAAAAGAGCATTTACTTAAATACATTGTATCTATAAAAATAAGGTATAAACAGAAAATATATATATATATATATATATATATATATATATATAAAAGTGAATAATTCTATATATATATATATATATATATATAAAAGTGAATAATTCTATATATATATATATATAAAAGTGAACATAGAAGTCAACGCTTAGAGGCAACAGTCTGTTTCATGCTAGATGCAATCGTCAGGCCACACATGATTGATTTATTGCATCTAGCATGAAACGGACTGTCGCCTCTAAGTGTTGATTTCTATGTTCAATTTTATATTTACACACGCTCTATCTCTGATATTGAGCACTTTATCCCATAAATATAGCACATCTTAAGACTATATATATATATATATATATATATATATATATATATATATATATATAGCTGTTTCTCAACCAGTATGCGTGGGTGCACTAATGTGCCCAGGTAGCTAGCCAGGTGCTCCCCATGTTAACAGAAGAGTACTTTTTATTAATTATTCTTATATTTACAAAAAGTCTTTTTAGCTACAGACACCAAGCAATATGACTTTCATGGCTAAGTAAAGTCTTTGTCATTTGATATTTTAAACTAGATGTCAAATTCCTTTTCCCTCAACAGTTAAATGAGTCTTTAAATGAAAACTGTGCCACTAATCCTCTTTGGGGATGGGAAAGTGAGATTATGTTTATCACATATAAGGACAAACATGCTTAAAGTTGCCAAAGCATATAAAAGCATCCTTAAATATACAATGTAATGTCTTAAAAATAAATGCTTATTTCAGGAGACTTTATCATTTTCCTATTTTGAAATACCTTGACTAATTTTTCCTTATTAAAAGTTATTAAGTCAGTCCCAGAGATTTAGTTATTCTACAAGCACACCCTGAAGTAAAAAAAAGGTTGAGAAACACTGATTGATATATATATATATATATATATATATATATATATATATATATATATATATATATATATATGCATGTTTCATTAAATAATATACACAAGTGTTGTCTATTTATTTTATGTAAATTCTTTTCATATTGTCTGATAAGCTTAATAGCATTATCATTAAACAAAGAAAGAAAATCACAATATTGATACATATTTTTAATCCTATCTAAGCTTTCAGCTTAAGAAATATAAGAATTTACATAAAATAAATAGACAACACTTGTCTATATTATTTAATGAAACATTGCTGCTTAAATACACACACACACACATATATATATATATATATATATATATATATATATATATATATATATATATATATATATATATAAGGTAAAATAGATAGGTCAGTTAATAAAACAAAGACAAACGAAACAGTACCA